GGTAAACTAACAGGACAAATTATTATACTGCCACCAAAAGTCATGCTGATCTCCTATGCTGTATTAGTGTAGTCTTTTGCAGGTAGACATTGCTTTACTTTGCTTGTATTTCAGCTCTGAACCGTCCCTGAAACGGAAGAGGTATATTCATGGTTAACGTGAGACTCGACATGAGACTGGGTATGTTAATTCGTACACAGTGTCAGGATTTTTTGATCAGTACTGGCTTATGGCTAGCCAGATTGGAATAGACCTGGAAATGATTGTGTAGATGTGGCCTAAGAGAAACTTTGTCAGTCAACATGTTAGAAAAGTTAATATGTTTCTCTGATGCATTTAATTTTGAACAGTATTGTTATTTGTTATCATTCTGTTTACAGCAGGAAAGATAGTTTGAAGGAATGTACCTTTAAGTATCTAAAGTCATTTAGAAGTAGTTGTTATATATTGTGAATGCTCATTTTATGCCATGCTTATCAGCTACAATGAATAAAAATGACTTCTCTCAGATTCCTTGGTTTTGTCTGATTGCTAAAGATCATGATGATCAACTCTTTGAAGGGGAGAATTCGTATTTTGGTGTGGTTGGACAGTAATCCTTCGGCCTCAAAGGCACCTGAGCAGGGCAATTGTGATCTGTAGCACACCTGTGATAACCTGATCATGAAAACTGATGCTCATCCCAGAAGAATTCCTAGTGAGGTTATACACCAAAACCATAGCCCTAAATTTAGGTATACTCAAACCAATATTCTGGGGCCAATGCCTTAGAAAGGTGCTTCTGCCCTCACAAAGGATAGAAAGAGAAGGGAAAGATGTGGGAAGATCGTGTCCGTGATGACACCCTTCTTCAGTGGCTGTCCTAGCTTCCTAATCTGTATTTGTGGTATTCATTAAATTGTGATTGCACAGGCCTAACAGTTTGGGCTTGGTTTGGGAACTAGAAAGATTTTGAGGGTCTTCAGCAAAAAATAACAATAGGAGAACTGAGAAATCCCTTGGTGTACTATGTATTTATTCTGTCTAGGAACTAATTGGATGTGACTAGGAAGAAGCAGCGAGAACTTCTTATTGTCAATACAATTGCTAATACAATTATAATAAAATATCCACGTGTCCCTCTTTCATTCAGCTGAAAATCTTGATTAAAATTATTTTTCACTATGACATAATGCCAAGAAATGATAAAGGAATAGAAGAAACTGCAAACAAAATGCAACCTAGCACACAAGGGAAAGATTTAACAAGAAAGAACAGTATTACTACCATAGCAACAATCTGTTGTGTATGCAGTTCCTTGACGTTAAATGCAGCTTTATCTTTTTAGTGGGTGAGGGAGGTGCCCAGCTGTAGTATTTTTATGTCTAAATCTTAAACTTGAGCTTCCAGCACTGAAGATATTTTTTCTCGCTATTAAATCTGTTCCACTGAAGAGATGTTAAATTGGTTCACTATATCCTAATAAAACAGGTGGATCTAGGCAGTGAAAAATTGTAATGTAATAGAGACCAATTAGGGCTGAAGAGAAAAAGAATGGATGTATTGCTATAATAGTAATTAAAAGAAGTGAACATCTAGTTTGTGAAGAATGAATTGAAGAGATTAAATTGGAATCTAATCTCTTAAGCGGTGAAATCAAGGGCAGGAACATCCTCAAACCACAAGGTGGGGAAGGGTTATGAGAGAATGCAACTGAGTCACAAGAATGCATAAATGAAGCTTTGATATTTCTGTCTGCAAAACTCTGTGACAAGTGAATGTGCACGTCATTCATGCATGTGCTACACATCTCCCTGAAGAGTGAGGCTGAAATAGAGGATGTGCTATAATTGTGAAACGTTCTGCAGGACATTGGCAAGCCTGTTCTGTGGGTCATGCAACACATCTAAAGGGCGTCAGAGCTGCTATGCCTGAACAAACCAAATTCACTGGGCATATACAGTATATTCAATGTATCCCTGGCACATCAGCACATTGAACTCACTGAATGTGTGCTACACCGTTAAACTGCATATACATGGTGGCCTTTTTATTCAGGATTCCAGCTGTTATACAGCCTAGTCAGAACTACTACTACTTCTCAGTAGAACACTACAAATTAGACTCAAAAATCCCAGCCAAAGGTGTTACAGATAGGAAGCCAAAGCCGCATTGGCTCCCCCTTTCAAAATGACACCTGAGTAAAAGAAAAAAACTAATCCGTTGAATAAGTACAAAGGAAGAAATCAGCAGAGTGTGAAAAGAAATTTGAAAAATTGAATTAAGATTGTTCCAAATAAGGAGTATAGAGAATAGAATATTACAGTTCTATTGAAGGTAAAGTAATTATCTTAATTTAAACTGGCTTAGGATATGGTACTGTGCATAGAAAAGACTGCCATAATGGTGTTGGAGCTTTAGTGCAAATGAGAACAGATTATTTTACTTCTGAAATTGTGCCAACTCAAAATATGGAAGGGCATACATCTATTCCTACTGATGTGTTATCTTCCAAAGGTACCTATACATTGCCACAGTGCTTGAAGACCACATGTTCTCTTCAGGATTTATCCTCAAAGCACATTGTCTGTCACCACTATAACTTGAATCTCTAGTGAGCCAGCTGGCGCAATGGACAGGGAAACCCAGATTCACTATGCATGCTGTTTCCAGCTTCAGACTTGCTCCTGCAGGTAGAACAGACGTAACTAACTATAGCAAGAAAATATTTCACACTCAGATTTGCCTTCAGACATTAAAATGTGGGCATAGCCAGAGAAGTTAAATTCAAATACAACTACACAGGTAGGATTACCTGAAAAAAGACCTGGGCAGAGAAGCATCTTCAAACTTCCATGTTAAAGCATTCAAATACTAATATTTTCATATTTTCTAATATGCCTAAAACATATTGCTCCCATGACCAGAACAGTTTTCATTGTGGAGTAAGAAGTTCAATGCCTTTTCCAAGAATAAGAAGAGACATGTTCAGCTGGAGCAGAGATTCACCTGGAACATTATCTTATCTCTGAAACTAGCCAATGCAGAAACCTAAAGACGACTTAACATGCAAGTATTTACTTTGCTGCTATCTCTAATGTACTTCCAGAGATTTGTGACTTAGGGGCTTCTTAGTACCGAAGCAGTATCTGGGAAGAGTACATAACACCTAATTTTAAATGTCTGCAGTGTAAAAATGCAGCTCTACATCTGAGCTGGTGTGCTTGGATATCTAGTCATCTCTGTAGTCAGTGGGACAAATAGCCACTGTGGTAGCAGGTTAAAAACAAAAAAGTGTTAAGGTGACTCCCTCAGATGTGGATAACTCCATCAATTTCCACAGTTATATTTTGAACCCGTGTAAATATTTGATATCACCAACATCTGGCAATCAGTTTCACTGCTTAGCTCTGTGTTGTGTGAAGTGCATTGTTTTCTCTGTTTTGAACTTACCTATCAATTTTATTTGATATTTATCAATTCTTCTATTTTAACTAGTATTATATGAGAGAACATCTTACATGATAGTAATGTAACAGATAATGAGCATTCATTCATTCATTCTGACGACATGTAAAAAAAAAAAAAAAGAAAAGAAAACCTGATACAGAATTTAGTGGGACTCAATTGTCCATGACAAAATCACGTTTCAAATTTGCAATACAATTCTAACTCCATATACTTAGCATTTATGATTTTCTGAAGATTTGTTTTGGGAAAATGTGCATATTCTCTACTTGAAGATAATTTTGATTCTTGTCATTCAAAGTTTCAGGAAAAACAGTTCGGCTTTAAAGCACAAAAAAATCATTTTTCACTACAAGATTTGCAACCTGTCCATAGCCTGATGATTATTGAATGTTGAATGCAAAGTTAATGACTACCCGAGGAAATGCACTGGTCCAGGAGACTTAGAAAATCACGTGCACTACAACCTCTGGGCCTAAACTGTAAGGGAAATAATTCCTAAAATTAATGTTTGCCTATATTTTTTGGATGTAATAAAGCATCTAAAATGTGCACATGTGCATGAATGAAATGTCATGCAGAACTCTTCTTTGTGAATATTTTTGATAAGATTACAAGGAAACATTCTAAATTAAAGTGATAACAGATTTTTCTAGAGGAGAGCAAATCAAAACCACAGATGGAACATGTAACATTTTTTAAAGCATTTTTAATACACTGTAGGTTTGCATTTGAGCTAGAAGACAGCTTTGACTTGTTCTAAGATAGAAGCCAATTTATTTTGCAAGGCCAAGTGAGTATCTTCAATCATGAAATCTGCTAAAAGAAAGGAATAGTCTTCTCTTATTCTTTTTTCTCCTCTATATTTTAAATAAAAGTGAAGGAAACAGACCTTGGTTTAAGTCCAGTCCCCTACCCACTTCTGAAGTAGGGTTTATAAAGTCAAAATATTACCATGACAAAAAAAAATAGATGCTTTTAAATTTTTTTATTTCTTCAGAATAACAAATTAACCCTTTATGTGCACTGCACACCTTCATTTTATATATTGAACACATTTACAGAACTACAGACTCTGTGGTTGCTCATATACAGAAATAGATATGTGTAAACTCATTATTCTGCAGTCTACCTTGATGGTACTACAAAATTGCCTTGACTTGTTTTCCGTAGCAGGATATAGGAATCCTTGTATAAAGTTGATTCCCTCTGTATCAAATATGACCTTTCTTTAAGACCATTTGTGTAATTTTGTTGTATGCGGCACATAGTGAATTACAATGTTCTTCTAATAAGTGGCTAAATTAATACCTATTTTGAGGGCTTTTTTTTTTTTCTATAAAATCACTAGTGACCATTTTTTTGTTCCTCAATAACTGAATGAGTTTTTTTTTTTAAGATGAGATCTTTTTCCTCCTACAAAGCTATGGTTTTGATCAATAGATGAATGCACAGTGTTTTCCTTGAATATCCTTAATAGAAGGTTTGTTTGTGT